CCCGTGCCTCCGTGCACGCCTTGCATCGAGGGCCGGCAGTACACTTCACCTCACTCCTCCTCGTTTCCCCCCACCACAGTGCCGCTTCAGACCCTGCACCTGGACGTCTGGGGCCCAGCCCGGTCCCTGGGCCGCGCCACGAGCACTACTTCCTTGGTCTTGTGGACAACTACTCGCGCTACACCATGGTGTTTCCCCTAGAGCGGAAGGCCGACGTGCCTGACATTCTTATCTCGTGGCTTGGAGCTGCCCGAGTCCACCGTGCCCAGCCTGTGCTTCGTCTCCACTCCGACCGTGGGGGCGAATTTGCCTCCAGATGGTTTGGCCAGTTTTGTCGTGCGGAGGGCATCACCCAGTCGTACATACTCACGGACTCCCCATAACATAATGGGATTGCTGAGCGACGCATCGGTTTGGTCATGGAGGTGGCTCGAGCCTCCATGATCCATGCCGGTGCACCCCATTTTCTGTAGCCGTCTGCGGTTCGCTACACCGCCCACCAGCTTGACCTGTAGCCCCGTGTTTCGCGCCCGCAGGTTTCGGTGACCCTCCTCTAGACCGGATCCCCTGGTGACGTGCTTGCGTTTCACATCTGGGGCTGCCTAGCTCACGTCCGCGTCTTTCGCGCGGACAAGCTCACGGCCCGCAATACCCCTTGTGTCTTCCTTAGTTTCCCCCTTGACGCTCCTGACTGGCACTTTTACCATCCGTTGTCTCACCGTTTCCTGCACTCGCGTGCTGTCACCTTTGACAAGTCTGTCTCCTTCTACACCCGCTTCTCGCACTGAGGCCTCCCTGTTACCCCACCCCTGTTACCCCATCCCTGTTACCCCACCGTTGTCCCCACTCCCCTGGTAGCTCCCGCTCCCCTCCCTCCCCATCCTGTCCCGTCTGGTGTGTCTCACGTCACTCCCCTCCCATCGGTTGGCCCGGCGGAGGAGTTTGCTGACTCCGGGGGTCCGAGGGCTCCGGGTGCGCTGCCTGTTTTTGTGGTGCCTGCAACCCCGGCCTCGGTGCCTCCGCCACCCCAGCAGTAGCAGCAGTCGCCGCCCCCGCAGCAGCAACAGTAGCCGCCGCAGCAGCAGGGGCTGGTGGGCTTTGGGGGTGTTGGCGCTGGGGGTGCTAGTTCTGGGGATGCTAGTCCTGGGGGTGCTGGTCCTGGAGGTGCTATCTCGGTGAGTACCGGTGGTAGCTGTGATGGGGCTGGAGGTCTTGGTGTGTGCACGGAACAGCAGCAGCAGCCGCCGCAGCAGAAGCAGCAACCGCCGCAGCAGCAGCAGGTAGTGTCCGCCCTTTGCCTTCTCGGTCTTCCCTCCGCCTCCCCTGACCGACGGCCCGCGCCTCCCCCGACACCGCCTCTTCCTCCTGTCTACGGCCCCATGTTCCCTCTGCCGGACTCGTCTCTGGCTCATTTCCCCACTCGTTCTCCTCCTGTGTCTCCTCCTTTGTCTCCTGACCTGACACCTCCCTCCCACTTTTGGTCTCACCATCCCTCCCGTGCTAGCCTCGTCTCTCCCGTTCTGAGTGTCCACCCTATGTTTCTCCATTCTCACGCGGCTTGTGCTCCTACCGCTCCTGTTCTTCTGTCGCCTCCTCCGTCATCCCACTCTATCTCCTCCCCTCTCCGACCTCCTCCATGGTGCTCGCCCTCTTGTTCCTCGTGTCCTAGCCTCTCTTGCTACCGACCCTTCCATTCCTGTATCCACTCTCTCGGCTCTTGTTGCTGCCACCGCTGACTTTGCCTTTACCCGTCACCTTGACTATGCCACTACTCTGGTCTCTGAATTGTCCGTCCTCCGTCCGTCAGGGGTGCGCCTGCCCGTGGCAGGGACGTCCTAGAGGACAAGCAGTACGAGCTAGCTTTCCTTGCGGAGGCCGCTCCTCATCTCTGATCCATGTTGCTAGGCCCTGAGCGTGACCCAGACGCTCTTGACATCCTGACCCCTCGCACCTACGCTGAGGCAACTACGGGACCCTAAGCCTCTAACTGGATAATTGCAATGGACGCAGAGATGGCATCTTGGAGATCCACCTGCACGTGCGTCGATGCAGTTCCCCCACCTGGGGCGAACGTAGTCGATGGCCGGTGGCTCTTCAAGGTGAAGCGCCCGCCTGGAGAGCTGGCAGTGTTCAAGGCGCGCTACGTTCCTAGAAGCTTCAGCCAGTGCGAGGGGGTGGACTTCTTCCAGACCTTTGTCCCTACCCCAAAGATGACCACTCTTCAGGCGCTGTTTTACGTAGCAGCATAGCGTCACTATGAGCTCCACTCACTTGACTTCTCCAGTGCATTCCTCTAGGGCCGCCTGCACGAGCAGATCTACATGCGCCGTCCGCCAAGCTGCGCTGGCTCTTTCCCTCTTGGGACCCAATGGTTCCTCCGGCGCCTGGTCTACGGTTTGCGGCAGGCGCCCCGTGAGTGGCACGACGCGCTGCGTGCTACACTAGCGGACCTCCAGTTCTTTCCGTCCTCTGCTGACCCGTTTCTTTTCGTTCGCTCTAGCCAAACTCCGTTCTACATCCTAGTCTACGTAGATGACCTGGTCTTCACTACTGCAGACAGAGACGCGCTGGCCTCGGTGAAGGCTGAGCTGATAAGAAGACACATCTGCACTGACCTAGGAGAGTTGCGCCACTACCTCGGGCTGCAGATCTCCAGGAACAGAGCAGCGCGCTGCATTACTCTCTCACAGACAGACTTGGTGCTTCAGGTCCTTCAGAGGTTCGGCCTTCAGTTCTCCTCCGCATAGCCCACCACTCTGCTTGTCGATCACAGGCTCTCGGCTCCAGTCCTTGACGAGCCGGTCGAGCCTAGTGGTCAGTACGCAGAGCTTGTGGGCTGCCTTATGTATCCTCACACGCTTTGTTGCGATAGGCAGACACCAACCTCAGCACAGGTCGGCTGCCAAGAGGGTGTTACAATATCTGGCGAGTACATTAGGTATGGGGCTAGTACTGGGAGGACGGAGGCCAGTGGTTCTCATAGGACACGCAGACAATCCGTGGGCAGACGGCGCTGAAATGCTCAGGTCCTCTCAGGGCTACTGCTTTAGCCTTGGTGCAGGCGCTACTCTATCTCGTGGAGGTCCACCCGCTCATTGTCTGTCGCACAGTCCAGCTGTGAGGCTGAGATCTTTGCTGGTGCCATGTTGGCACTGTAGCTCCGCTGGCTGAAATTCTTGCTCACTTACTTAGGTGAGTGGCCTAGCTCTGCCCTGGTCCTGTACGCTAACAACAGGGCCATGATCCTCCTATGTCCGGAGGCTCAACTAAAGGGCAGAGCGAAGCATATCCAACTGCGGTACTTCCTCATGCGCGAGCTACAGCAACATAGCCATGCAGCGAGCCAGCTAGCACGCTCGCCAGCACGGTACGCTAGCTAGCTAGCCACCAGTAGCACTAGACAGCTCGCCACCAGCCGAGCTCGCCAGCGCACCGCCAACAAAGTTCGCCAGCTTGACGCCAGCAGAACTCGCTAGCTCGCCGCGAGCAGAGCTCGCCCGCTCGCCGCTAGTCGGACTCGCCAGCTAGTAGCCAACAGCGTCCGCCAGCTCGCCGCCAGCATTTGCTGATAGCTAGTCGACAAGACAGCCGCCGCCACTGTAGCCGCCACTGCTGCTGCCTGTGGCACTCCCACTGCCGCCTCTACTGCAGCCACTGCCACTACCGCAACCGCTGGAGCCACGGCCGCAACCGTTGCAACCACTGCCGCTGCTGCAGCCGCCGCTGCCACTGCAGCCACTGCCATTGCCACCACCGCCGCTGCCACTACAGCAGCTGCTGCCGCCACTGCCACTCCGCCTTTGCCGCTGCAGTTGCGCTGCCACCTCTACCACTGCTACAGCCGCTACCGCCACCGCCGCTGCCTCTGCTGCTACAGCTGCCAGATACAGCTGCCACTGCCGCCGCTGCCCTTCCAACCACCACTGTCGCCGCTGCCCTTGCAGCTGCTGCTAACATCGCTGCCCTTGCAGCCGCCACAGCCGCCACTGCCGCCGCTGCCACTGTTGTAGCTGCTGCCACTGCCGCTGCCGCCGTTTGCACTACCACAGCTTGTGCTGCCGCCACTGCCACTGCAGCCCCTGCCGCTCCCGCCACTGCCGCTGCCGCTTCAACTGACAGCTGCAGTCGCCACTGCCGCCGCTGCCCGTGCAGCTGCCACTGCCGCCACTGCCCTTACAGCTGCTGCTGCCACAGCTACCCTTGCAGCTGCAACTGCCACCATTGCCGCCACTGCCCTTGCAGCTGCCGCTCCAGCCGCTGCCGCCGCTGCCGCTGCAGCCGCCGCTGCCACTCATGTCACCGTCAGCCGCTAGCTGCCACCACTCGTGGCCCGCCACCGACCACTAGCCGCCAGCGGCAGTCGGCCGTCAGCCGCCAGTCGCCAGTCGCGAGTCGGCCGCCAGCTACCAGTCGCCAATTGGCAGCCAGCCTCGTGAGTCCCCTGTGCCTTGTGGACTATCATTCGCCCAGTGCCGCCAGTCCTAGTGACTCCTAGCTAGCTCCTTGGCGTGCTGTTCCTAGTAGCTCCTCTTGCACATACTTCCTCCTCGTTTGCTCCCTACTCCTCTTTGCATTTCCTAGCTTCCCGCCAGCCGCTCATAAGCCGCTGTCCACCGATCCCAGCTTGCCGCCTCTTGCTACCAGCCCACCGCCAACTAGCGCCACTTCCGTCTTAGTGTCACTCGCTCCTGCTATCGTCAGCCTACCGCTAGTCACTGCTACTAATAGCCTCCTGCTCACTGCTACTAATAGCCTCCTGCTCGCTGCCACTGCTCCGGCCACAGCCGCCACTGCTACTACCTCTGCTAGTGATTTTGTAGCACCTAGTGCCTCCCACTAGTTTCCTCCTCATTTCTAGAGTTCCTCGATGCCTCTCCATTCGGCATAATGGCCTCGTTCGGGTCAGTCCCTCGGCCAGACCGCTTCGACATTCTCCGACGAGAATGATTCTACGTCAAGTTATCCAAGAGCGAATTCGCCCTCGAGAAAGTCCAATTCTGAGGACACATGGTGAGCGCTCAAGGAGTTCACATCGACCCCAAGAAAATCGAAGCCGTACGCACAAGACACCCGGGAACGAGAAGGAGTTGCAGCAGTTCCTAGGCTTCGCTAACTACTACAACAGGTTCGTGCCACAGTACACGAAAATCGCAACGGTCCACGTCGAATCTGCTGAAGAAGAACACGCCCTATAAGTGGGAACCAAAATATCAGGAAGCGGTGGAGCAGCTAAAACATGCACTCACGTCCGCACCCGTACTCATCTTGCCAGACCCCGAATGTGACTACATCATTGAAGCTGACGCCAGTGACCAGGCAGTGGGAGCAGACTTGATGCAAGACCAGGGGAATGGACTGCAACCAATTGCCTACCTCAGTAAGAAACTACACGGGGCATAACTAAACTACCCGATACACGACAACGAGGCCCTTGCTATTATCATCGCCTTCAAAACGTGGAGATGTTATCTCGAAGGACAACAAAGAACCGTCTACACCGACCACTGCAGCCTGAAATATCTGAAGACACAACCAAACCTCTCCACGCGGCAGGTCCGATGGATTAAATTCCTTGAGACGCACTTCCACTTCGACATCGTGTACAAGCTCGACCACAAAAACAAAGCAGACGCTCTCAGTCGGCCTGCACACGTTGCTGCAATCCAGGTCGAAGGGATGAACCCACTTCTCAAGGGTCTCTTCACACACGGGTACGCCATCAACCCCGAAATTCCTTTGGCATAAAAACGATACCTGGTACAGTGGAACGGTGACATCGCATACCGGAAGGGATTAACAAAAATCTGGGTACCCAATTACCCTCCTTTGCGCCAGTTACTACTCGAAGAATACCACGATGTCCTATACGCGGGACACTTCGATAGCAACAAAACACTCATCGGTATTGCAAAGCACTACTACTGGGCCCACATGGCAGCCGACGTCCAACAATTCGTCACTTCGTGTGCTATATGTCAGCGGATGAAGAGCAGCAAGCAGAAAAAAGTAGGAATGCTATAGCCTCTTCCTGTCCCAGAACAACCATGGCAAGTGGTTAGCCTAGATTTCATCACTGGGTTACCAACTACCACTAGCGGTCATGACGCAATCCTCATCGTCATCGACAAATTCTCCAAAATAGGACACTTCATCCCGACACACACGACAGTACGCACCGAAGAAACAGCACAACTATTTGTTCGCTACATCATCTCACAACATGGCATTCCAACCACACTCATCTCCGACCGAGACCCCAAGTTCACCAGCAAATTCTGGAAGGAACTAATGTTTCTGCTCAGGACCAAACTCACCATGTCATCTGCCTACCATCCGCAGACAGATGGACAAACCGAGCGCCTCAACCAAATTGTAGAGCAACTCCTCCGCGCAGCATGCAAAGACGAAATCTCTAAATGGGACTTGCATCTGCTCGTCCTGGAATTTGCCTACAACAACGCCACTCACGCCGCTACTAGACAGACACCGTTCTTCCTCTGCTACGGATGCCACTTGCTCTCGCCACAAAAACTGACAGCATCAACCACAGTTCAACCCGCACACGACTTCATCACGACCATGCATCAGCTTTGGGATCGGACCCACAAGCGCCTCCTCGACATTCAGCAACAACAGAAGCGCCACGCCGATCGCCACCGCACTGACCACACCATCACCGTGGGAGACCAAGTTCTACTCGACACCCGCAATATCAACATCAATCATCTCCCGTCTAAACTGCGACCTCGCTTCTGCGGGCCCTTTCTCGTTGAAGCACAGGTCACTCCTGTTACCTTCCGCTTACGCCTGCCAGCTACCTGGAAGATTCACAACGCCTTCCATGTCCAACTTCTGAAGCCCTATCGAGACCCTAACACGGTCTTCACCGGACGCCAACCCCTGCCGCTGCCGCTCGTCCTCGTCCATGATGAACCCGAGTACGAGGTCGCGTCCATGCTCGCACACCGCCGTCGTCGGAATGGCACCGTGGAGCTTCTCATTCGTTGGAAGGGTTATGATCCTTCTGAGGTTACTTGGGTTCCTGAATCTGAGATGGGTAACGCCCGTCGTCCTCTTCGCGAATACCTTGTCAAGCAGGGTGTTACTTCTACCACCCACCTTTGAGGGGGGGAAGTGTGAGCGTACGACCCATTACACCAATTTCCCTTTCCATATCTCCTTTCTATTTCATTCCATTTTTTCTCTCATCTCATTTGGTTTCCTATTTCTCCTATTCCATTATCCTTTGGTTTATCCTGTTATTATAATTGTATCACCGACCAGGCTCGGGATGTACTGGCGCGCTAAATCTAGCGTAATCCTGCCGTAATCCCTTAAAGCCAATAGCCTCGCGTGGCTATACGTAGGGTGATTCTATTTCTAGAAGGGTCTATTCCATTTGGATAGGATAAACTTGATTACCTGATGTACTTTGGAAGTATAAAAGCGCCTTGTATCAATCGATAGTGCAACTTTTCCTCAACACATTCGATCATGTGACACTGAGCCCGCACTTAGACTGCACGCTCATAGAGGATCACATCAGTTATCTCCTTGGCTTCAGGCTCCACGACCTCAACGTCCGCTTTCGGGCTCTCTGGCCAGTGCCGCAGCAGTAGGAGCGGCGGCAGCAACCGCAGTGGGGTCTTGGGGGTGCTGGACGAGGTGGAGGCTCTGTAGGTGCGGCCCCGGGGCAGTCGTTGTCCTGGGGCCAGTGTGGTTTCTCTGGAGGACCGGGGACCTTGGGGCATCGAGGTCTAGGTCCCGCCACTGTGTCTAGTCTAGGAGCCTCTACTCCGTGTCCCCTAGGCTCCTCCCCTGCCCCTCTGCGGCGGCCCTCTCCATGATCCTTGATTCTTTAGAGACATTAGTGCTCTCACCCTACTTCTTGCGCCTGTCTGCGTTGCCCTAGTAGACTCCTCCACCATTGCTATCGCACGTAGCACCACCACTCTCCCTTGTCCAGCTGTCTCCTCCGGCTCCCTCACTGGTCTGCACATCCCCTCGTTTGCCAGGAACCTAGTGGGTGTCAGTCACCTTCACGACCGAGGCGTCGCCACTATTTTCCCTGGCTGCGAGAGATACGCCGCTTGCACAGACACAGCCACCGGTCGGCACTTTGCCACATTTGAGCGTGACCCAGGGTCGGGTCTCTCTACAGTGCACACTGAGTCCCCGCCGACTGCTGCGTCTGCCGCGGTTGCCGCGTCCTGCTCCTCTCGCTCCATAGCCCACACGACCCTCCTGTGGCACCACCGCTTAGGTCACTCTGCACTCCCGTGTCTTAGGCACATACCCCAGCACGGTCTAGCCACTGGTCTCCCTGCGTCGCTCCCCACCCTGCCCACGTCGGTAGTGCCACTATGCACGTCCTACGTTGTTCCCATTGGAGCAGAAGGTTGACGTGTCTGCTGTTCTCCTCCTGTGGCTACTTACTTTTCACACCCACCACCGCCTGCATGTAGGTCGCTTACACTCTGACCGTGGTGGGGAGTTCGCCGCCGGCACTCTAGGACAGTTCTGTCGTGTGGAGGGCATCCGCCAGACGTACACACTACCGGACTCCCCACAGCTGAATGGGGTCGCTGAGCAAAGCATCGGTCTGATCATGGAGGTAGCTCGCACCTCCATGGTCCACGCTGGTGCACCCCATTTTCGGTGGCCGTTCGTCGTGCGCTATGCTGCTCACCATCTTAACTTGTGGCCGCGCTCCCAGCGGCCACAAGTTTTGCCGACCCTCCTCTGGACCGGGTCTCCTGGTGACGCGTTTGCGCTCCACGTCTGGGGCAGCCTTGCTCACGTCCGCGACACTCGCGCAGACAAGCTCTCAGCCCGCACCCTTCCTTGTGTCTTCCTGGGGTTTCCGATTGACTCCTCTACCTGGCTGTTCTACCACCCGTTGCACCACCGCATTTACCACTCTTGTGTCGTTACCTTCGACGAGATGCTCCCCTACTTTCGGTGCTTCCCGCACCGTAGCGCTCCTGCCTCCTCCTCCTCTCTTCCTTGTTCCTGCCCCGCCTGCTGCACCCTTCCCGACCCAGTCTGGTGTCTCCCACACCACTCACTTCCCCTCGGTTGCGCCTGTGGGGGAGTCGGCTGACTCTGGGGGGCCAGCTGCTGGGGGCGCGCCTGCTGTCCCTGGGGCGCCTCCCCTAGCCTCGGTACCCCAGTCACCTCAGCCACCTCCCCCCTTGCCTCAGCAGCAGCAGCACTTGTCACAGCAGACTCAGCGGCTGCTGCAGCAGCAGCAGTAGGGACCAGTGGGCTCTGGGGGTGCTGATATTGGAGGTGTTGGTGTTGTTGGTGTTGGTTCTGGGGGTGCGAGTTCTGGGGGTGCTGACTCAGGGGGTGTTGGTTCTAGGGATGCCAGTTCTAGGAGTGCTGTAGCGGGGGGTGCTCGTTCTGTGGGTGGTGCGTCCAAGGGTGCTTGTCTTGGGGGTGCTGTTTCAAGGAGTGCCGGTGGTAGCCGCGGTGCTGCTAGAGCAGTTGCAGCCACAGCAGCAGCCGCAGTAGCAGCAGCAGCAGGAGCAGTAGCAACCATAGCAGTAGCCGCAGCAGCAGGCGTAGCCGCCGCCGCCGCAAGAGCAGCCGCAGTCTGCCCTTCGTCTCCTTGGTCTTGCTCCAGGTTCCCCTGTCCGCTCGCCCGTTCCCCCTCCAGTGCGTGACCATGTTTACAACCCGTTGTTCCCTCCTTCGGGCTCCTCTCTGGCTCGTTTTCCCCCGTGCTCCCCTCCGTCCCCTGACTTGTCCCCCGTTCCCCCTCGTCCCTAGTCCCCAGTTCTTCCCCACTGGGTTCATCGCCCCTCAGGTGCTCGTCCTGTCTCTCCCCGTCCTAGTGTCCATCTTATGGTTCTTCGTTCGCATGCTTCTCCTGTCACATCCCTCCCGTTGCCTCCCCCATTGTCGCTCCCGTCGTCCCCCTCTCCTTGCTCCGATGCTGCTCGCACTTCTCGTCCTACCCTCTCGCGCTTACTTGCGTCACTTGTCACTGACCCTACTGCTCCTCCTGAGATTGCTCTGCGCTTGTCGCTGCTACCGTTGACTTTACTGCTAGCCACCGCCTAGACTACACTGCCGCTCTGGTCTCTGGTACTGCCCGTCCTCCGTCCGTCGGAGGTGTACCTGCCCTTGGCAGTGACGTTCTAGAGGACAGGCAGTACGAGTTGGCCTACTTTGCTGCTAATGTACCCCATCTCTGCTCCATGCTTGTATCCCTAGAGGGCGACCCAGATGCTCTCGATATCCCTGTTTCACGCTCTTACGCTGAGGCGGTGTCAGGGCCTTGGGCAGCCCAGTGGATACAGGCCATGGAGGCTGAGATGGCATCCTACAGATCCACAGGCAATTATGTCGACGTAGTTCCCCCGCCTGGGGCGAACGTAGTCGATGGCATGCGGATCTATAGGGTGAAGCGCGCACCTGGAGAGCCGCCGAAGTTCAAGACGCATTACGTAGCTAGATGCTTCAGTCAGCGCAAGGGTGTGGACATCTTCCAGACCTTCTCCCCGACCCCGAACATGACTACACTTTGGGTCCTTCTTCACATAGCCGCGCAGTGTGACTACGCGCTTCACTCACTCTACTTCTCCACAACATTCTTGCAGGGTAGTCTGCGCGAGCAGATCCACCTCCGGTGCCCTCTAGGCTTCTCTAGGTCCTTCCCACCTGGGACCGAGTGGAACCTGCGCCGTCCTGTCTACGGCCTTTGTCAGACACCCCGTGAGTGGTACGACATGCTTTGCACCACTCTTGCCGAGCTGTAGTTCTTTCCATCCTCTGCTGACCCGCCTCTCTTTGTTCGCACGGGTCAGACACCATTCTACATTCTAGTGTACCTAGACAATCTTATCTTTGGTACTCCTGACTGAGTCGCACTGTCCTCAGTGAAGGCCGAGTTACTTAGGAGACACACCTGTACAGACTTGGGTGAGCTGAGGCGCTATTTGGGCTTGGAGATCTCTCGTGACAGTGCCGCTCGCACGATCACATTCTCCCAGTCCCATATGGTGCTGCAGATCCTCCAGAGGTTCAGTCTCCAATTCTCCTGAGCACAATCCACCCCTCTGATTGTGGATCACAAGTTCTCTGCTCCTGTTCCGGCTGAGCCGATCAAGGCTAGTGGTCCATACACAGAGCTGGTGGGGTGCCTCATGTACCGGATGACCTGCACTCGATCAGATCTAGCGTACCCTCTCATTCTCCTGGCCCACTTTGTTGCGCCAGGCAGGCACCGACCAGTTAACTGGTCGGCTGCCAAAAGGGTACTGTTGTATCTGGCGAGAACATCAGGACTGGGGCTTGTGCTAGGAGGACGGGAGCCAGTGGTGCTCACTGGGCACACAGACGCGTCATGGGCTGACGAAGTGGAGACGCTCAAGTCCTCTCAGGGCTACATTTTTAGTCTTGGTGCTGGTGCAGTCTCGTGGAGGTCTACCAGGTCGTCGTCTGTAGCTCAGTCCAATTGTGAGGCAAAGATTTACGCTGGGGCCATGACCGCTCAGGACCTCCGCTGGCTGACGTTCTTGCTCACTGACTAAGGTGAGCAG